AATACTCAATATACTTAGCACAAAATGTGAGGCTTTACTCTCGAGGAGGACATAATGTGCCAAATAAGAAGAAGAGGCCGCACGTGTGCCAAGCACRTGTGCAACCTGCATCRCCCTTCTGCCTCGTCCACTCAGGCAATGATGCTCACGCCTACTCATCTTAAATAGTGTCTTTGCAGCCTCAATTCTAAGTACTACCAGATCCTTAGTCGGTCGCCAACTGACTTCCTCCTTCCTCAGATCATCCTGCTCGTTGTAAGAAACGTAGAAGGTTCCTATCTAGCCATTCGATAGTCCCGAATTTCAAAAAAAAAATTCTAACTGCCGGGTGGCAGGGAGTGCCTATAAACTATCCTTCAACTAAAAAATACTGATTTTGCCTTCATGAACAATTGGTCACAAAAAGGCCAAGTTCCAAAATATTTAATAGTAACAGCCGTCGCTACTTCGTGTATTCGATAGTCCTAAATTTCAAAAAACTTTACCTACCTTCCGGGTGGCAGGGAGTGCCTATAAGCTATCCTCTGTTAAAAAATACTGATTTTGCCATCATGTACAATTGGTCTCAAAAAAGGCCAAGTTCGAAAATTTTTAGTACCAGCCATCGTAACTCTGTGTACTGGGAGATATCGAAAAACAATTACAAAAATATCGAGATCTTATTAATTGGTGAACTTTTCAAGCCATGTCAGAATGGCTCTGGCCGTGCGTCTCTGCATCCTGGTCCGACGGATAGCCAGGATCGATTGTCTCAGCAGCTTCGTTGGGTACCGTAGTAGGAGAGCGTCGGTAAAAAATAATTTGATCATCGGAATCGCATCCTGTTCGACCGTTGTATTGGAAAGGATACGGTGCAGGGTTCCCAGTAAGGTTAAGGCTTTGCCTTTAACTGGACCAAAGCTCAAAAAGTGTTTGATCGTATGAAAACGCCCAGAAGGCTCAAGAAGTGTTTGATCGTATGAAAACGCTCAAAAAGGGAAAACAGAAAAAGAGCAAGAAGATCAACAAGCTGGAAGAAATGTTTAGCGGTGAGATTCACAATGGGAGGGCAAAAATTGGACTGTTTGGACCATAGAAGGGAATTAAAAATCGAAAACGAAAAATAGAAAAAGGAGCGAAGGAGTTCGCCCTGGGGAAGGAGTTTCACGTGAGCGCCGATGGTGAGTGCTAACACGACCACCAAGTGCCGACCTTGAAAAAGTGGCCTGCGGTAATTCACTCCATGCGGTAACTTTATTGAGAGCCTTCGTCGCATGATTCCAAAGTTTGAAGGAACGAGCACGCCATTGCAGAGCAAACCACACCTCAGCCGGGAAGATAGGAGAAGGGTGGGAGGACGCCCTAGCAGGAGAGGCCGCGCCTACGGGCGTGGTCTCCTAAAGGAAAGAACGGAGAGGATAGCCAACAGGAACGAGTAAGGGAGGAAAAGGGTGAGAAGTGAAGAAGAAGTGAGGGAAAGTGACAACTACAGGACAGAGAAGAAGGCGTAAGAAACCAAAGAGGTGGCAAGGACACGCTCACTCAACTCGACGCCGACTCGACGGACGCAGACACAAAGTGGCAAAGTTGCGAAGTCGCAATCTTGGATTCCGAACACAACGTCGCAGCAAGTCACACTGAAGCACAAGCACTGAGGCCGAAAACTGAATGCCCGAAGTGGGCTTGAGTCCGGTCTTCTTAAGTACCGGACTCAAGTTGAGTCCCGAGAGCAGAAGTGCAATTTGCCTCGGGGCTGAACTCAAAATCGAAGGTCTGAGCTTGGGCGCCAGAATGCCGGATGGCGCCAAGTATCGAAATCCAAAACTGCCAGAGGAGGTATTTGAGAACGAGTGCCAACTGCAGAGGGCGCCAACAGTCAGGAACCGGAGATCAGGAACTCAAAAATACAAATAGTAGCCTGTCGGGAGGTAACCTGCGGAGCAGGGATCGAGTCCTGGCTAAGTCCGTAACATAAGAAACGATTTCCATTCACACGCATCACTCTAAGATCCAAGAAATTTCAAGCACCAACGAGTAGCTCAACCAAGGCGACAAGGGAAACATACGTGAACTTTGAGGAATGCACACGCGAGGAATAGGTAGACATGACAACGAAGGGTAAGTGTGAAAAGGAACGCAAAGGATGAGCATGCCACAATCGAAAGGAGGAAAAGCGGAGTACTACGAAGTAGAGAAAACTGTGAGTGGTCGTCATATATCGCAACGTCATCCGAATAAGGAAAGTGAGGAATAAACGAGTGGACGATAAAGCAAGCGGAACACATTGTAGAAGGCGACAAGACAAATCAAAGAAGGTTAGCTCACCAACCATGTAAGTTTTAGGGACACATGATCAGAGGAAGAATGCAGGCCGTCCATATGATACAAATAGTCCGATCGTATACCAGAAGACAATTGAAGGAGAACATGGAGGAGGGAAGGAGAAGAGAGGAATAGCGAGAATAGTAGGAACCGAAAGGGGGGAACTAAACCGACATAAAGGAAAAGGAAAAGGTAACGTACATAAGGTCTATCAATTAGGACAGCTAGGGGAGAAATAATTA